TTCACTCCAGCTGAGCGGCCATGTGAGCACAAAATGGTCAAGAGTGGCTTCTCCTTATATCCCTGACGCACTTGTACCTGCCCCTCACCTGGGATTTGTCCAGGTCAAAGGTTCACAGTCTTTCTCGATTGGCTAAAAGGCTTGTGGGATGGGTTAGGGCATGTTATTTGGCAGGTAATTTTTGCAAGCAGTGGGGCTATACAAGAATCTGGAAGAAGAAATAGGAATCCTTTAAACAATGTGAGTCACCTAAGATGGCGACCTGAGGAATTTTAAATCTAAGAGGGTGACATATACTTTGATGGAGTACCCATATACTTTTCTTACAGTACCCAGAGGAAATAAGGAATATTTGTTCTTTCTGTCCTTTGAATTTTTTATTATGTTAAAGAACATGAAATGTGTTATGAAATTAAGAAAATTTACCTTTTTGCCATTTTAAGTGTACAGTTTAGTAGTGTTAAGAATATTATATTATATTATTCATGGTGGATTGCTTGTAATCCCAGCTACTTGGGAGGCAGAGATCAGGAGAATGTTTTTCCAGGCTAGCCCTGACAAAAGTTAGCAAGACCCCATCTCAGTCAATAAGCCAGGTGTGTTAGTGTGCACTTGTGATCCCAGCTACAGCAGGAGATTGCAGATAAAAGGATCTCAGTCTGAGGTCTATCTTGAACAAAAATGTGAGGCCCTATCCAATAAATAACCAAGATTAGAAAGGGCTGGGAGTGTGGCTGAAGTGGTAGAGTGCTTTCCTAGCAAGCATTAGGCACTGCTACCAAAATAAAAAAAGGTAAGGCATATGTGGTGGTACATGCCTATAATCCCATCATTTAGGAGGCAGAGGCAGAATGATCTTGAATTTGAGGCCAGCCTGGACTACATAGTGAGACCCTGTCTCAAAAAACCAAACCAAACCAAAACAAAAATTCATGTTGTTGTGCAACCAGTCTGTAGAACTTTTTCATCTTGCAAAAGTGAAGGTGTGTATCCATTAAACAACTCTCTTATTTCCTCATTCCTCCAGTCCCTGGCAAGAAAACATTCATCTTTGTCTCCTTGACTTTGATGACTATAGGTACCTTATATTAATGGAACTGTACCATATTTGTCTTTCGGGGATTAGCTTATTTCACTTAGTTTTAAGGTTCTCAGGGTTCATCCATATCCTAGCATCTGTCAGAATTACTTTCTTTTTAAAGTCTGATTATATATTAATAGAATATTATTATTCTATTCCATATTTTTTCTGGTATCTTTTTTGGGGGGAAGGGGGAGCACTGGGGTTTGAACTGTGGACCTCATACTTGCTAGGCAGGCACACTACCACTTGAACCACTTTATCAGCCCGTCCTGTTCTTTTTGAAGTGTTACAGGTGACTTTTTTTCCTATACAAAGATGAATTCGGATGGTAGGATTATTTATTATATTCTGGTTTGGGGATTTGAATGTTCTTTATGTGTCATTTTTGGGGATTGAACCCAGGTTCTTTTGCATGTTAGGCAAGTGCTCTATCACTGAGCTACATCCCCATACCCTCAAGTCTTTTTTTAAATTGTGATAAAATATATATGACACAAATTTACCTTTCTCACCATTTTAAGTGTATAGTTCAAAACTTTTACATCATCCCAAACAAACTATACTCACTAAACAGTAATTCTCTATTCCCTTTCTTCCCCAGCCATTGATTAACTACTAATATTCTACTTTCTGGTTCTATGAATTTTACTATTTTAGGTACCTCATATAAATGGAATTACCAATATTTTTCCTTTTGTGCCACTGGTTTGTTTCACTTAACCTAATATTTTCAAGATTTGATATGGTGCTTTATATATATATGTATGTAAATATTTATTTTGGAGACCATTTCTCACTATGTAGCGCTGTCTGGCCTCAAATTCACCATCTTCTTTCCTCAGCTTCCTGAATGTGAGACTTACAGGCCTGTGCCACCGCACCTGGCTAATTTTTTATTTTTGTAGTGCTTAGGTGGTCTGGGGAATTTTTAAAACCACTTTGCAGATGCAAAATGGATTTGTGATTTCATATGGATTGGGAGTGTAGTTTAGTGGTAAAGCATTTGCTTAGCATGTGATGCCCTGGGCTCAATTCCTTAGCAGTTAAGAAGAAGAAGAAAAAGGTTTAGCTATTTCTAGAAAAGAAGATAAAACCTATGATAACATGGAAAAAAATTTTTTGTATTTTTCTGGATTCTCTTTAAGTATTAGTGTCTTTTCCATTTTCTTATTAAGACTTTTGCTACAGCATATACTTTCAGGACCTCAACCACCATTGGCTATCTGTTCTATAGTCTCAGATATTCTTACAGATGGTCATTTGTGGTAACTTTTGTAGTTATCATTTGTAGTCTTTGCTTTCCTGTTTCCTTTGAGAAATTTCCATTTATTTATATAATCTCACATTGTTCTACTTATACATGTAGCATATTTAGACTGAATAATCCTTGCCTTTAAAATTACTGTATCTTTATTTTTTTATTCTTCTCAACTATTTTTCATATATAATCTATTTCCCCAAAGCTGACAGACAGAAGAATGATTTTGTATGATTTATTTTTTCTTCTTCTTTCCTTCTTCTCTTCTTTTTTTTTTTTTGTGGATAGGGTCTTGCTCTGTAGTGCGGTCGTTTGTCTCCTGAGTGCAGGGATTACAGATGCATGCCCCATGCTCTGATTTTTAGATTCTTCAGGATAAACTTCCATCTTCATATGCGGTGGAAAGTTTTTTTTCTTTTTTTGAGGTACTGGGGTTTGAACTCACCAGCCTTTTTATGATGGGTTTTTTTTTTTGAGATAGGGTCTCGAGAACTATATTTTTTGGGCTGGTTTCGAACTGTGATCCTCCTGATCTCTGCCTCCTGAGTAGCTAGGATTATAGGTGTGAACCACCAGTGCCCAGCTGTTTTTTTTTTTTTTTTTAAGATTGAGAGCAACAGGCTGAGAATCTTGATTTAGAACACAGGTATTTTGGGCATTCTTTACATAATACTTACAGGAGTATAAATCTTCCCAAGTGGCTGGCATGGATATGTACTGACTATACAAAGATTAGAGTGTAGAATTTAGGAAAGATTTGATCAAGAGTCTCTTATTATTTTGAACAAAGAGTTCATATAGCTTCTTTTTTTTTTATTTGGCAGTACTGGGATTTGAACTCAGGGTCTACATCCTGAGCCAGTCCACCAGCCCTTTTTTGTGATGGTTTTTTTCAAGATAGGGTCTCGAGAACTATTTGCCCAGGCTGGCTTCGAACTGTGATCCTCCTGATCTCTGCCTCCTGAGTAGCTAGGATTACAGGTGTGAGCCACTGGCATCTAGTGAGTTTATATAGTTTTATGTTCCAGATTATTTGAAGGCATACAAAGTAGTTTTGGGAGTTTTCAGGAGTTCCTTCTGACTAGTCTGGGACGATTTTCTCAGGTAGACTAGCTTCTTAGCCTTATGTTGAAATAGAGTGCTGTAGTATGACATAGGTGGAGAGCTTGTCTAACTTGTGTTGCACCTCATTGATGAATTAAGCTGGGATGTAAAATGGTGAAAAGGCTGTTCATACTAGGCAGGGTAGAAGCAGAAAAAGAAAAGAAGCCAGGAGCTGGTAGCTCATGCCTGTAATCCTAGCTACTTGGGAGACAGAGATCAGGAGAAATGAGGCTCAAGACTAGCCCAGGCAACAAAAGTGAGACCCTATCTCAAAAATACTCAGTACAAGAGCTGCTGGAGTGACTCAGGTGGTAGAGCACCTGCCTAGCAAGTGCCAGGCCCTGAGTTTAAACTCCAGTACCACAAAAAGAAAAAAGAAACACAAAAGAAAAAAATAGTAAAAAATGACTTAACCAAATTTTGTGTGGGTTGAAGTTATTGTGAAACATAAAACAAAAATGAATGTAGGGATTATTTAATGAAAATAGGGATGTATATGTGACTATAGTAACTGAAGAAAAAGAAGGGAAGCTGGATGGATGTGATGGCACACACCTGTAGTCCCAGCACTCAGAAAGCTGAGGCAGGAGGATTGAGAGTTTGAGGCCAACCTGGGCTATATAGTGAGATCCTGTCTCAACCCTCCCTCCCCCTCAAAAAGGAAGAAGTGATTGAATCATAGCTAGAGATAGACAATTACTAGCAATAATATGAATGAAAAATACAGAATTTAGCAACAAATTAAGGGTAAGTAAAGGCACCCAAATGCCAGTAACCTATGATAATACATTAGAAAAGAGAAATTCAGATAATGGAGAAGTATTGGGTAGGAAGAAAGAAATTCTTTTTCTGACATGGTAGGTTTGGAAGTATGATGGAACATCCATGTAAAGGTTTTTCTGGTAGTTGCGGTGAAAATGTGAAAGTTTGATTGTAGGAGAGGAATATTGAGTGCTTTCAACACAATTCAGTACTGCAAAAAGAAAGTCATTCACTTGAGTTTTCATATTGTGAACAGGAACTTTCCATAGGATATGTGTGAGAGGTTGAGAGAGTGATTTGCAAGCTCAAACCAGAGGCAAATGAAGTCTGGGGAAGAGAGGTCTGGTGGTAGGGAGCCCAGAATTGAGTTGTGTTCTTCAGGAGGAAGCGAAATGCCTAAGAAATTGATTGATAGAGGGATGATCCAGGAAATCAGTGGGTAACCTGTAGGGATATACCCAAGAAGTTTAATAAAGGACACTTTAATGGTTATGATGATAGGCAGGGAAGGAGTTTGTCAAACTTAATAAATTTAAGAAGTAGCGGTCTGTTGGAGCCTTACTGTGCTTTTCTGAGCATCTTAGACATACTATCTTGCCTGTTCCTCACAACAGCTCCATGAGGTAGGCACTGTTATGTCCATTTAGGAGCTCTGTATATCAGAGAGCTCTGATTTTAACACCCTCCCCCCACCCATGCCAGCTAGAGTTCTTCAGGAGACATGAGGTGCACATATCTTTCACTTCAGAGAACTGTAGATGATTGATCTTGCCTTCTGTGCTTTATTTCCAGGTCACAAGGCACTTAAAGCATTGTTGAGGTCTTTGGTAGATCTTCAGGAAGAGTTGCTTTTCCAGTACCCAGACACTAGATATCTAGTAGATGGAACGAAGCCCAGAGTGGAGAGGTAAGGAAATAATGAAGTATGGAGTTACTTATTTTCTTTTCACTTGCATAGTTTCCCATAATTTATGAAAGAGAAAGCCAAATCCTTTCCAGGAAAGCAGATGTCAGACTTGATGTTAGTAAAAAAGAAAGATGGTGGCAAAAATTGGGAATCACATTTTTTTTTTTTTAAGTCTTCAGTTGTACTTGATTCTTTTTTTTTAGGCTTAGGTAGGACACTTGCCTTTTCGTTAGATTTATTAAAACTAGTAGGTTGATAACATTTTGAATATTAATACTTAATGTTTACGAAGCATTTTGTGCCCATATCATTCAGTCCCTAGTGGCAACAATCCTTCAGTGAGGGAAGAAGCAGTTATTTTGAAGGGTGGAAAGATGTCAGAAAAAAAACATCAAAATAATCCTGTTTCTTTCTGGAATGATCACATTTGGTGAAGGGTTCCCCCCTTTGTTTGAGCCTGCTTGCTTTTTTCCTCCTTGTGCTTGTCCTTTGCTGCATTGTTTTCTGTTGAACTAGGTGGAGGGACAGAAAGGATGCTCACATTTTTTGAGTACCTACTATTTGATGAGGTTAGTAATCCATTGAGTACAGTTGGCTGTATAGTTGGAGGTTGTATTACATTCTCATGGCAATTCTTATCACATATACAACTGATCTTCTATATCCATGTGAGGATGGTTCCAGGACTTTACATGGATACCAAAATCTGCAGATACTTAAGTTCCTCATAAAATGACACTATTTGCATACACAGTCTCTCATATACTTTAAGTCATCCCTAGATGACTTACAATACATAATACAATGTAAATGCTATATAAATAGTTGTTATGCTATATTGTTTAGGGAATAATGACAAGAAAAAAATCTGGGTTGGGTGCTGTTGTATTACACCTGTTATCCTAGCTACTTGGGAGACTGAGATTGGGAGGATTGTAGTTATTCAGCAGACTCCATCTCCAAAATAACCACACCTCAAAATGCTGGAGGCATAGCTCAGATGGTGTAGAATGTTTGCTTTGCAAAGCATGAAGCCTTGAGTTCAAACCCCAGTCTCAGAAAAAAAACAAAAGTCCATATGTAATCAGTATAGATTTTTTTTCCTGAATATTTTTTTTCCTGCATTTGATTGGATCTGTGGACTCAGAGTTTGTAAATACAAAGGGATGATTACATTTCAGTTTAATGCTGATTTGGGTGCCTACTTTGAGTTTTCTTAATTTTTCAGCTCCTCTTCATTTGGTTCAACTTATATATTCACCTCTCCTTAAGAACTGGTTCCAGAGACATGTTTCTCTTATTTGGGGATTAATGTCATGGAAACATGATTATGTGTTTAATTTTTAAAGACCCTTCTGAACACACCTGGTTCATACACATTTCTAATAATATTTTTACAACCTCCTTTATTTTTATGGTTTGTTTACCTTTTAAAAATAGTTTGAATCCCAAGTGCTTTTTATATTTATTCAAAAAGTTACACGACTTTTTGATTGACCTTATAAACGTTCTTTTCAAACAAAAAACCATCCCCATATCGCTAGTGTTATTTAAAATGTAGACAGAATAGGTAAGGCCTGAATACTCTATTTCATGTAAAACTAAGTTTCATTTAAATAATGTTTATTTACATTGAACTTAGTGTTCTTACTGGCTTTCTAGTGAGGAGATTTCTAGTGAAGATGATCAGCTAGTGGAAGAAACGAAGCAGAGAAGAGCTCCACCAAAGAGGAAGCTGGAGATGGATGACTACCCCAGCTTCATGGCAAAGCGCTTTACTGACTTTACAGTGTACAGGAACCGTACGCTGCAGAAATGGCATGATAAAACCAAGTTAGCTTCTGGAAAACTGGGAAAGGCAAGTATGTGTTATGGCGAGGGTGGGAGGAAGGTGGGAGATGGGTAATGGCAACTTGAAGCTTGTTTATGTGGATGCTGTTACAATGTAATAGTAATCAGTCACTACTGTTGCAAAGTTTACTGGACCTCCCACTTTATGCCACTCAAATTTGAGATTTTAACTTTATTAGAAAGAATGTTTTATTCTTGAAATGGAAACCTTGTCCAAGTGCTGGTTGTATGAAATACTTTAAAGAAATAGATTTAAAATCAGTTATTATTAAAGGAGCAGAAGTTAATAACTGGGCATAGGAAAGTGAAATGACTTGATTAGGACTGATATTTATTTATTTATTTACTCACAGGAGAGTGATATGACTTGGTTAAGACTAAAAAATTATTTATTTGTTTGTTTATATTTTGGTGAAAGGGATTGAACCCAAGACTTCATGCTTGCTAGGCGAGTGCTCTACCACTAACTAAATCCCCAACAACTCCCCACCCACACACACCACCACCACCAAATTTTCTTCTGACAGCAATTACAGCCACTCACAAACTCAGTCCTTAACAGAAAATCCCTCCTGAAAGATGATTGTCTGTTTCTTTGCTGACACAAGAAGATAGAGAAGCAGTATAGCTGCCTTCAGCACTGACTTTCTGCATTATCTGACACTGGTTAATGTTGTTTCAGGGTTTTGGTGCCTTTGAACGGTCAATCTTGACTCAGATTGATCATATTCTGATGGACAAAGAAAGATTACTTCGAAGGACACAGACTAAACGCTCTGTCTACCGAGTTCTCGGCAAACCTGAACCAGTAGCTCAACCTGTTCCAGAGAGTTTGTCAGGAGAACTGGTAAGAAATCTGATGCAATGTGATTTTGGTGATCAGTTTCTGGGAGGCGAATTAAATGAAAAACTTGTAGGTACTACCTCTTAGTATGAGAAGTTAGTGAAAGAAAGGAAAATAGCACTACTTTACTGGATGGTTGAAAAACTGAATGTATGGTAGAGAGGAAGTTTAAAAAAATGGAGCTTTTATTATCTCATGTGTCATCTTCTCTTAATTTTGAATTTGATATAGGAGCCTGGCAAAGGAAGCATTCATAATCAGTTTTTAAGATTTAGGGGTTTCTTTCTGTTTGTTTTTGTGGTGCTGGGGATCCAATCCAGGCCCTTAATCATATGTAAGCCTTCTACCCCCAGTCCTTGAGATTTAGCTTTAAGGCAACTCTGTCAATACTAAGCAAGTGTGTACTTGGGCTTAGTTTTGCCGTTTGGATACTGTAGGAAAGATCCAGGGTGGAATAGTCAGTTTTTTTTGTTTAAAGGAAGTATTTTTAATTATAGAAGAAATATATATTTAATACTTTTTAAGTTTGTAAGAATTTAAAAGAAAAAGTAAAATTCTTTCTACTCTGAAAATTCTGTTCCTCATATGATGTTAATAGCTGTGACAAGCTTTATGCATATAACATATACATAAAAATATGGTTGTCTTTTTTTTTTACTAAACAGGGCACATACATGGTGTGTCTATATAAATAAATAAAATATTACAACTATATTTAAAAATCTTACAATTTACTTTTTAAATTTAATATATACTAGATACTTTCTCATATTACAGGGAGATCTTCCTCATTTTTCGTAATGGCTGTAGAGTATTTCATTGTTATGGATGTATGCTATAGTTGAGTTAAATAATAGGTATTTATGTTGTGTCCAGTTTTAGAAATAACACTGTAGGAAATATTCATGAACATTTCTGTTTGTGCATTTGTGTGAACGTAGGGATAGATTTCTTTTCTTTTTTTTCTTTTTTTTTTTTTTTTTTTTTTTTGCAGTACTTGGGTTTGAACTCATGGCCTTGTACTTGCTAGGCAGCCAGCCCTTTATATGTTGGGTATTTTCAAGATAGGGTCTGCCCAGGATGACTTTGAACTGTGATCCTTCTGATCTCTGCCTCCTGAGAAGCTAGGATTACAGGTGTTAGCCACTAGTGCCCACCTAGGGATAGATTTCTTAAACTGAAAATCTTAAAGAAAATACAGTAAATCTTAAATCCTTTTTCTGTCAACTGCCTATTAATGTTTTTGCCTGTTTTTCTTTTTCTTCCTTTCCTTTCCTTCCCGTTTCCCTTCCCCTCCCCTTTTCCTGACAGGGTCTCACTATGTAACCCAGGCTGGCCTTGAACTCATGATCCCCCTGCTTCAACTTCTCAAGTGCTGGGATTATACCTGTGTATCACCATAGTTGGCTTGCTTGCTTTTCTACTAGACTGTTTTTTTATTGTTTTTAATTTTGGGGGGGTGCTTAAACTCAGGGCCTACATCTTGAACCACTCTACCAACCCTTTTTTGTGTTGGGTTTTTTTTGAGATAGGGTCTCACTAACTATCTGCCCGGGCTGGCAAATTTCTCCTGATTTCTGCCTACAGAGTAGCTAGGATTAGAGGCATGAGCCACCAGTGCCCAGCTTTGTTGTTTTTAATTTTAAGAGCTTTTTATATCTTAAGGAAAACAGTGCTTTGACTATTAGGCATAGAATTGATAGTAGCTATTGTTACTTTGATAACATTATTGGATTCACTCTTTCTTATGTGACATAGGAGATCCTTCCTCAAGCCCCTGCCAATGCTCACCTAAAGGACTTTGATGAAGAAATATTTGATGATGATGACTTTTACCACCAGGTATGATTTTTTACATGCTCTTCATTTGTTGCAAATCAGGTTTTAGCATTTTAAATCAGCTGATAGTTTCTCTGAACAAAAGGTAGCTTATTTTGGAAGGAAGTCAGACAAGGAGTTAGAACTCCTGGATTCAGAATTGACTTGCTATGTCATTCTGGATTGCTGGATTGTTATGTTTTCCTTTTGAAGTAAAAGCAGCTATAGCTGTTTTGTTAGTTGTTGCTTGAGTGCAAATTATCTATAAAACAGTTTCAGCTTCTTTGAGTCGGGTGATTTATTGTTTACCTAGGCATTTTTATATTTTTACTTTTTTCCTTCTGGTATTAGGGATCAAACCCTCTGCATCTTGCATGCTAAGCAAGAACTCTACCACTGAGCCACATCACCAGCCCTTGATAATGTTAATGGAAGACATTGTGTTACAGGCTTCTTGTCTCAGTGCTGTTAGAATGGGACATGGACATAGTGCTGGAACTGGGATCCCAGAGTTTTTGAAATGCATGTCTGGTTCTGTAACCTATTAGAGCTCTTGTTTTTAGTATCTTTTTGTGCCTCTTCAAAGCAGTATGCGTTGTGAATGTCTACACTGTTGATTATAATAATAGTATAATATTTTAAAGATAGCAAGAATTGGTAGAACTTGAAATATGGTCGTTCTCAATATCTCTTCACAAATGTTCTCCCAGTTCTTTCCAGACATTATCTGCTGGCATGCTACTCTTTTTAATAATGCTGATGACTGGTCAGGCGTACTAAACATCTGGGCTATTCTAAAGAACCACAATAACTTCCTGTATTCCTGAGTCTCTTGATAAGTTACAGTTCTTGATGCAGTGTATTTTCGGCTGTACCCTTTCTTGCTCAGTGGAGAATTGAGGATGCTGTTGATACCAATTTTTGTTGAATTGTTTATTAGTATGCAGTTTTTTTCTCTGCTGAGTTTTGAATTGTAACTTTTTGCCAGAGAATTTGCAACTGCTTATTGAAGATTTAGCCATGATGGCTGTACTTAGTATATGGATACAAAGGAAGAAACTTCTTAGAAAAATTACATGTAAAACCAGAACAAGTGATTCTGTACCTCTGATTTTACCCTAAAAAGAGAGGCTTTCTAGTAAATTTTTTACTCATTCTTTAATATTTGATAAAATTATTGCCATAAGTTAGTCTGAAAAGTAATGATGAGAGGATAAAGAGGGTTGGTGTGGCCTCAGCTATTCTCAGCCAGAGGTTATAATTCTTTTTTCCATTTCTTCCTTTATATCCATTTATTAGAAGAGTAGGGAACTCTATTTTGTTCTGGAGTGTCTAAGGAAGTGCCTGATATGGGATATTAATGTTGTATAATTGTGTGAGATCACAGGAGACAATCTAAAACGTTCCAGTATTGAAGTGTACATTGCTTGATGTAAAGTGCATCATAAATTAAATAGGCTTAATAAAGTAAACTCAAGTTACTGGGGAGAAGTTGGTTCTACTGACAATTCTTAATCTGAAATATTTTTTTCTTTTTCTTTTTTTGGAGGGTGGGGTGGGGACTGGAGGTCTGTTAAAGAAATAGCATTACTTGGTTGGCCCTTCATCCAAATTAATAATTTTAACTTCGATGAATTCTGATTTCAGAGTTATGACTAGTCAGTCATATCTTAGCTGTTCCCCTTGCTGGTTAATTGGGGTGCTGGGGTTAATCTAAATTAAAACTTAAACTAATAGAGGTCAGCAAGGCAACCGAAACACCTGAGTGAAACAAATGGGGCTGCCAGGAGCAACTTTATCTTGGCTGTTTCCCAAGAGAGAAGTGGCAGCAAATTGGAGTTGTTTCAGCCTTCTGTAAAGGTGAATGATGGGTGACACTTGTTAATGTACAGCATCTCCGGAAGCATTCCAGGTTGCTTTGCTGCTGTACCAACTGCTGCCATCCATGCACAGTCAGTAGGAACTGGACCAGTTGCCAACATCTGGTAGCACAGCAAGGAATGGGTGCAAGTCTTGAAACCCCACAGATTCTAAATATGGTGCTTAGAACTGTGCAGGCTTTAATCACTTACCGCTCTTTGGCAGCAGGCTACGACAGCTTATCCTAGCCTCGTACATCACATCCCGACATCTGCTGAGCTGCAAGGCAGCTGCACATTCATTTTCTTTTCTTGCCTTTTCTCTTTGCTTCCTATTGCTCTTCTTCAGACAGCGCCTTTACTCCCCTCATCCCCTCCTCTCTTTAGTTTTCCTCCCCCTCCCCAATATGCTTCTTGGAAGAGATGATCTGTAAAGATTACTGCTTCATTGTGTGCAAGTAATTGTGGTGATGCCAGGCCCTTGACAGACCACAACGAAGCACCTGTTCTGCTGACCTGGTTAATTTCTTCTGTTGAGTGGGATTTGCCAGAGATTGGAGCTGAAGCCAATTCAATGATAAGGCTAAAGAAAATGACTGTATGTTTTCTGTCACCTCCCAATTAAATTGGCTTCATAAAGTACTTCCCTTTATTTGTCAGGATAGTAAGCCTGAGCTAAGTGTTGCATTCAGACGTGGTACAATGTACTACAATGGACCTGTAAGTTTTTATTTTATTTATTTTTTAATGTGATCATATGGAAGAGCTGGGTGGTGAATATAATACATTTCATTTTTTTAAAACCATACTTGATGCTAGACTCTTTGGATCCATGTTTTTGTAAGGAAGCGATTATAGCCACTTTGAATTTTAATGTTTCATTGTAAGGGTTTAAAGGCTTACTTGGTTAATTCAGGTGTCACGTGGCTGTGTAAATGCCCTAACTACTGAGAATGATGTGTGGGGCCAGAACTCCCCCTCCCATACACACTTGCTTTCCTATATACACTCACTCTCAGTCTCAATCTCTTTGTTTCTTAATGGGCCTTAAACCTTTAAAATGTCTGTATTATTTAGTAATGGTGTAGTGCATATTTATTTATGTGCATATATATGTCCACATATGTATGAATGGGGGCACTGAAGACAATGCCAGATATCATAAATAATCTTACCTTTTTATTTTTATCTATTTTACTTATGTACCCCAAGTTACCTCGAGCTCCAGATTCTCCTGCCTCCGCCTCCCAAGTGCTCCATCATGCCCAGCTTAATCTTACCATTTTCAGAGCTTAAAGGACTGTTAAAAAGAAATGGAGTCCTTGAGAAGTTAAGTAACTTCTGAAAGTCATATAGCAAATAGCAATGCTAGCACTTGATCTCAAGACTGCTTAGACCATGTCTCGTTTCTATAAACCTTTATTTCTTTTAAATAGTTTCATTCTTGAGCCATAAAAAGATTTCACTATAGTATTACAGTTTTCAGTTTGTAAATAAATAAGGTTCGTTTTCCCAGGACTAGAAGCAGTGTTATGTTGTTAGAAACTAATTTTTTTTCTTAGAAGGCAAATGATTTATTGAACTTCTGTTATTTAACAATTCTAATGAAAAAAATTAGCTTTATAGTTTTGTTACTGGTTTGTTTGGAAACTAGAATTGCTGAAAACTTGAAGTATAGCCAGTGGTAAAGGTTTTATGAGAGGAAGTATTCTCTTGCTGTGGAAAAGCATTGTAAGGTTTTACTTTCAAATGGAATTAGTTTGCATTTGGCCTCTTTCTTGTCAAAGCTCTTTCCTAAAGACAGTTGCACAAAACATGAAGGTTGTAAATGACCACAAAGGGTGAGCTATTCAGAAATGTTTTCAGTATCTATTTTTCATGTTCATAACCCTGTCTGCTACTTTGTAACATTAAGTTCTTTTAAGATGTGTTGTCTGTGTTTCCATTTAGGATTTTTCTTTGTTTCGCTTTTTTAAACGATTGGATCATCTTTGGCTTGATAAACCTGATTTCTTTTTTTCTTTTTTATGGGATTGGGGTTTGAACACAGAGCTTCACGCTTGCAAAGCAGGCACTTTACTGCTTGAGCCATATCTCCAGCCTAAAAGCCTGTGTTCTTAAAGGTTTGGGGAAGAACAAATATTTGCTGATCACTAGTTATACACTAGCTCCTGGACTAAGTAGATCCATGGTTGACAAACATCTTTACTTAATCCTCACAAGATCCTCATATTGTGACATGCTAGCTCTTAACAATAAGCTATATAAAGTGACAGTTTTATTCTTTTCATATCCCAGACCCTGAAACTTGTTTCTTGTCACCTCATGAAGTATTTTGCACTGAAAGGACTAATTGAGATTAGATGCTGACAGATCAATGCCTGGATTTCTAAGGTTCATTAGGATTTTCTATGTTGCTTCTAGCTCTGTTTAGTTTTGATCTGGTTTGTCCTGTCACTTTGAATCTAGCCAGAAGTGTCTGGAGAAAGGCATAATAGGTTTTGCTCTTTTGATGACCACTTTGATGGGTTAAATTTCTCCTTTCATTTGCCATCAGAACATGTCTATAACTGACCTTGCCAACATGTTGGACTTCTGTATCCAAGACATTTGATAATGCCATAAACAAGTAATTACTAATTTGGTGAACTATTAAAAGCCAATAATGTTGAGAAATAGAGAAGAGGCAGGCTATCTGACAGGATAGTTTTCTTTAATTAAATTGGTGAGTGATTAATATGGACAGTTGATATGGTGGCTTTAATTATATGCATTTAGATCTTAGTGTGAATAAGCAATGTCTCAAGCCATCCCAGAGGTAAATTGCAATACAGTATTCTTACTGTTGGCATATATCTTTCCAGTGGTTTAGTTGATGGTTAATAACATGTTTTACGGTTTGATACGAACCTGCTCCTGCTAATGAGTTTTGGAAAATAAATGCTGCTTGTTCAGAGCAGTCTTTTGTTTTTAATTTTATTTTAAAATGTTGATGTTATTTGGCATCTAGATAGTGTTTCTTAAAAGCCTGATGAAATTTATTGTACGTAGACCTTTATGGTGATTTTAGAGAAGAGGTATATATGAAATATATTAATTTGAAAATTAAAATTATGGCTGAAGGTACAGCAGGGATTAATAATCAGTTAGGTTTCTTGAGGGCAT